ACTAATGACTTATTTTTTGTCTGAGTTGAGAGATTATGCACCTTGCTGCTCTCTGTAGCTTCCTTAGGCCAATTAATGTCCAACGACTTTATCGACTGCGCTTGTTGGCTTGTGGATGTGAATGTTTTGTGAGGACCCCACAGGCTCCTGAGCCACAGGCATCTCGCACGTGGTTGAATCTCGGGGTATTTGTTGAAGGAATGAGTGCATGCACATAGGAAAAGGGTAGATCACCTTTACGCGTTATCTCAGGCAATGAGATTCTCAGTATTCCGAGGGCTACCGTTACACCTACGTTTATAATTATAATCATAGCATTATTTCTATATTTCTACTAGGTGACTGTTATTTTCCTCTCGGAAGCTGTGGCTGGGAGCAGTGAAGCAGCTCGCCTTGACGGTGTGGGAAGCAGACTTGGATCCCATTCAGGCTGATTCTGAAACCCATGTTTGTGGACAAAATACCTCTTTGCCTCCCAGCGTTCTATGAAGATGATGATAAGGAAACACCACCTTCAAAGCAGATATATAGAAATCAATCCTGCAAATGTCTTTTGCAGAGAAACATACCTGTTCCTTAGTTAATTGCAGCTATTTTGCATTTTTCTTCTTTGCCTTTTGTATTTAGCAGCAAATCTGATCTGTTTTATAGATCATGCAGAAATTTGTGATTCCCAGAGACTAAAATAATCCAGTCTGCCCTAAGCTAAATGGAACACATTGATCTAACTTAGAGTATTCTCATTTATTAGAAAATAGTCCTGGGTTGTCAGGTTATTCCCGCTACTGGGTAATTCATGCCTCTATCGCTGACAATCTGCTTCAGGCCAAAACATCAGGCTGGAGGTTGCCCTGGCCACGAAGGCAACTGGGACAAATTTCACTGTGCACTACCGGCTTGGATTTCTCCTCCCTCAAGTCAGTGCTCCATTTTGTGCGTGAAACACATTAAACATTTTTAATATGATCTGTATCTTACTGATTTCCCCAGAGGGTTATGGCAATTCCTAAAATTATAAGGATCTTAAAGTAGAAATAGAAAAGTCTGAAATTATGTAGAGAGGGGGAAAAGCAGGTACACAACCCTCCAGAATCAGGGGTTCTCAGACTTCAGTGTGTACCAGAAGGACTCAAGAGGCTTATTAGAGTATTGATTTTGAATATGAAATCCTGGCTTAAGTTTGTTAGATTTTTTAGTTGATCTATTTATTTAATTCAGCTTTGAGCTTCCTGGCAGGCAAGGCAAAAATGGAAGGACTTTCCATTTAGGGTAACTATGTAATTTCACCTATACATGTTACAAACCACGGGATTTTAGAAAAGATTGAGGTGGGTGGCTTATATAGTTTTCATACTCAAGACACCAGTTCTTCAGGAAGGACGAACATTTTCCTGGTACTAAATTCATAAAATACATTTTTAGGATAGTTTCTTTTATAAGGAGTTTTGAAGAATTTTAAGGATACTATCTTTTTATGACTTTTTAGATTTCCCAATTTACTACTGTTCTGTAGTAACAGTATAAAAATAAATAATTAATAACATATTTTTACATCTCCCCACATTATTCTATGTACGCTCATTTAAAATTAGGATTATTAAATACAGATATTGCTGTAAAATCTGATTTTCATACTTACTGATAATCGCATATATATCTCCCCATGATAACAAATACAGAGCTTCAGCGTTTTCAGTGCATATGCTATCCTTCAATACATTCACGTACAGTAATTCATTAAGGTTTCTTGATGAACATTAAGTTGTTTCTAATTTCTCTCAGTTATAAAATGCTGCTCCTTCAACTTTTTTATACCAATATATTTGCTCACTGTTCTAATTATTTGCTTGACAAAATCCCCAAAGTGAAATTGCTAAGTCTAAAGATATGCTACCTCAAAAAGCTTTTGAAACATTTTGGCAAATACTGTCTGGAAAGGCATTAGCCACGTCGAGTTCTGCTAGTGGAAAATAAAGACAGGATCTCTTCTCACTAGCACTGATCAGTGGGTGAAACATGAAATTCTACAGTCATTTCTCTAGTACTCCCAAGGTGTAAATATTTTGTTTGTTTATTGGCTATTTATATTTCTTATTTTTTAAATGTATTTGTTCATATCATTTGCCTTGTTTCTATTGGTGTAATTTTTTTTATCATGGGGTTTTTTAAAAATGAGAATATGAATCTTTTGTCTGATATATTTTCCCAACAGGTTTGTCTTAACATTTTTTGGTGGTATTTTTTCTGTTAAGTCATTATTTTGGGGGGCCAGGCTGGAGGTGTAGTGGTTAAGTTCACATGCTCTGCTTGGGCCGCCTGGGATTTGCTGGTTCGGATCCCCTGCACACAGCTCATCAAGACACTGTGGAAAATAGGGAAAGAGAAAAACAGAAATAGAAAATAGAGAAAGATTGGCACAGATGTTAGCTCAAGGCCAATCTTCCTCACTAAAAAAAAAAAAAAGGTAATAATTTTTTTCTTCACTATTTCTGGGTTCAGTGGCTTCTTTGGAAAAATTTTCCACTACCCTTACCTTGTAAACCAATTCTCCTGTATTTCCAGGTAAGCAGTCTAAGGCTGTAAATTATCTGTTAGAATCTGTATTGCAGGAGCAGTTTACTTTTGGTTTGTGGATGAGACCTGGATCTACCTACTTTTTGTTTCCAAATAGTTGTCTCGAAACCATCTATCAAAAAAAAAATCTATCTTAGAGGTTTAAAATGATTTATTTATTCATTTCAAGATTTTCTCTCCTACTCTTTCATGAGTCTTATATTTTTCATGTTATTTTACTGGTGTAATATTTTTACAATATTACATTGTAATATCCTTCTTTGCTAGAATAAGCTTATTAGCATGCATTTTCTCTTCTAGGTGAACTCTCTAATCACTTCTAACACTATCTTCTAGCTAACTTTTATAAAAGCTGCGGAGGTTCTCTGTGTCTGTGTCATCCCTGGAGATAGATAAAACCTGAGAGAGTAACGTTATAGGGAAGACTTTGCTTTGGGGAGAGGAGTGAAGGGCAAGTGGCTAATCTAAGGAGGTGCAGGTATGTTGGCTCCTGTGCATTGAATAATCCAAGACCAGAATTCAGAACTTGAAGAGCAGATGCATATTCCTGAGGCTATCTTCCTTGATTTTTATGATTTTAAGTTGAATTGCTGGCCATGGAAACCCAATAATGCAAACTACATTCACAAGTAAGGGCCAAAAACAGTCGTATTTCCATGTTGGCCTTGGATTCCAGATCTGTGGTGAGCAGGTTTTGCATTTTACCTTGACAAGATAAGAGAAGTCTCAACTAGTTATGGAGCAAATAGAGAACTACCATCTCCCTTCTCCTGGATGTGGCTCAGGGATGCTGCAGAAAAGCCAACATCCTCCTAGAAGCAGCTTCTGAGGTGCTCATTGCTCTCACAGGTGTCCAGTTATCTGCACTGTAGAGGATGAAAACAATTATCTTAGCCTTCAGAATGTTAAGATCAGGTGCTACTGGTGCCTTGGCACCGAAAGGTCCAGAATGATAAACAGCTGCCTCAGATGTTGAGCAGCAACACCTCCTGACAAAGTGGCCTGCTAAGATATTTACTACAAAATGTAATCTTAGGTACCTGCATTAATCTACTTCCTGGGCAGGGCTAATCCTTCCATTCATGTTTGGGTAAGAATCTTCCAGAGATGAAGATTTTTGTTTTGATCGGATCTTTTTACAAAATTGCTCTTTCTGAAAATAATTAAACCACAAAATCAGGTTCAGGTGAAGTCATTCCTTTTCCATGAAGGCGAGTTAGCTCCCCAGGACAGATGGAAGCACGCCTTCCTGTTTGTCCTGGCAGAAAGGCAGAGCAAAAAGTCTGCAGAGTCAACACCCAAGTCTGTGGAGTTGTCTCCTGAGGCAATACATGATCTCAAAACAAAAGTGGCTGATTTTGCCCTTTCGATGGGGTAAGCAGGGCCAGACTACCCCCAAAGGAGTTACACATTTGGTTGGAGTTCTGTGGGATCACTATCTCGTTCCTAATCTCTTGGGAGAAGGAGAAGGCAGGTAGAAACTCTGAGAAACACTTCTGAAAAGTCTTGAAACACAGGGAGGAATTTTTTTTCTATTTGTTTTGTCTTATAATAACTCAGTGAAGTTTATCCAATCTGTGGAGAAATGGAGTGGGGGAGGCACAATATCTAAATTCAGAAAGCCTGGATTCTAGTTCAAACTCTGTTGATTATTAGTTGTGTGACCTCAGATAAATACTTCACTTCCCCTAGCCTTAGTCTGCTTATTCATAAAATAGCAAGATATTTGTAAAATGCCTGCTATGGGGTTACATTATCAAATGAGCTAAAGTTTATGAAAGCACTTTGTAAACTCTAATAGATGTGTATACAAATATAAATTTTATGTATATACAAATATAACTACATTTGGGAAGCCAGAGGGATCCCACATAGCCACATACACACCTGAGTGATTCTGGAGCTGGTGCTCTGTTTGATCAAGGCCCAGCCAGGCCACATACTGACCCTCAAGTGGGCATGAGTGGTCATTCCTGCCTCATGACCCTCATGGAGCCTGGGGAAGGCTTCTCTCTCAAAGAGAAATACTGGATCCAGGCAACGGATGGTTTTGTCCTTCTTTATGGTAGATGTTGTCCCCTATGTGATGTTGTGCCCTATGTGCAAGGAAGAATGCCATTTTCTCTCCCAGTCACTCAATTTTCCCATTGACAACATATAGGTTTTTGACTGGATACTCTGTGATCATAAAATCTGTGATCTACTCTAGACAGTTATAATCCCTGCCTTAACATGGTCAAGACATGAAACCTCTAGGTAGACCTGGCATTCCTACTCTAAAGAGAAATCTTCTAAAATAAAACCCCTGCTACTGGTGGTTTCCAGGAAATCTTGGCTGCCATCATGGAATGGTGGCATTCCAGGACCAGGTCAGGTGAGTGACTGAGGCTGGGGTTCAAAACAATCTGCCTCAGGCAGAAAAGAGCCCCAGACCTCATCTGACTTCTACGGACAAACTCAGAACATGCCCAGGTCTTTTATTTCACCATTGCACCATGCACAGTGCCTCCTCCAGGCTGAGGTTTAGAAGTCTCAGTCAGAGGGCCAGCCTTCTTCAGTAGCTTACAGTTTCCTTCTCCTTCTTATTGAAGGGGTTATAGGGTTTTACAGTCGTGACCATTCGAGACAATGGTGCCTGGTGACGGAAGAGGTCAACTTCCATTTCTTTTCGTAAGACACTGTAACAGAGTGGAGGGGAAAAAAGGACACATAAAATAAGGATAAACACATGACCTCATTTATTTTCCAACTAATGATACACATGTACAGGAGACAGAAAGGGAGGGAGGGAGGGGGAACCCAGAAAGAGAGACTGAGAATGATTAATCATTGTGTGAATTGTTTCATTTATTTCATTTACTTGCATTCAGGCTCATTTGTTGCATTATGTACATTATATTGCCATAAATTTCATTGATTGAAAATCTACTCTGTGCCTAGAATTACAGTAGGTGCTAAGAAGACAGAAAATACAGCTGAAAAGAGGTGAGGCTGTAGAGAGGCAGCTGAATAACCAAATGGTTACCACCCAAAGTCTCTGTGTGGCGGGGCCTGGACATGAAGGAGCACAGAGGCAGAGTCATCTCTCTGGCTGGGGAAGGACATCTGCCCAGAGCCTGTGTCAGGGCGGAGTTAGGGGTATAATGGTGAAAGCAAGATGGCACAGGCAAAGGGAGGGGTGCAGGGAGACATAGAGGTGGGAGGGCACCAGGCGTGTTGGGGGAGCCCTGACGGGGAGAGTGCGAGAAGGGTGGGACTGGGACAGGCCATGTGCAGGGCTGAGAGCAGATTTTGCCCCACTAGTAGGGTTAAGCTGACTGCTCTCACAGGATGCCCTTAACCTGATGTGTCTTGGTTTGCTCATTTATCCAGTGGGAATAATATCCTACCAAGTTTTTTGTGAGAAATAAAAGAAAGAAAATAACCATGAAAGTGTAGAACACTATACAAATAATGCTTTCCCAGCTGCATCTATGTCCAGAGGTGGCATCCCAGCATGGACACACGTCATGCCAACTGTCTTGAACAACCGCACCCAGCAATTTTACTGTGAATTTTGAATCACACACACACAATGCGATGTTCGTATGTGGCAGAAGTGACAGAGCACACAGCAACTGAATCTAAAGTGGCTTTGTTTTCATGCTATGATTATCATGAAGTCATAATTTTTTATTATGTTGTGGGAAACAGTCATTGAAGTGAGAACTCAAGTGAAGTTTGCATTCTGGTGTGGGGGAATGCGCAAGAAACACTGGACTGTAATGGAAAACAGGAGTCATGAGAAGCACTTGTGCCTGCATTCCCTCACTCATGAATTTGTAGATTCACAACATCCCTTCTGCTCCACCTCCTGCACTCCCCATCTCCTCACTTCAAATCCCTTCCAATAATCCCTTTCCTCACTAGTCTGCATCTCATCTCAATATCAGTCCTAAGGCACTGCTGGTGTCCTGTACACCTCGCTCAAAATGTGTTATGGATACCACATGGCCCTCAGACCCTTGGCACTGACATCCAAGGCCTGAACAACTTGACCTCAGACCACCACTGCAGCCTATCAACCACCAAGATCTGTGGCAAGTGCACTGTTCCCACTCTCACTTCGCATGAAGAGGAATCAACAGTCCCTTCTCTCCTGGTGGCCAGATCAGTGCAGGATCTGGCAGGCAGAAACCTCTCATTTCAACTGGTGGCATCAGAATTTAGACTGCTGGGGGTTGAAGAGAGAGCGGGCTGGAAGGACACCAAGAGTGGTTGTTTCCTTTTGAAAGAAGCTTAGAAGCGAAAAGAAAGAGAGGAGAGAAACCAGAGGGCAGCTCAGAGGCAAACACATTTGCTTTCTGCGTAGGGAGGCCCGCAGGTGTCTTCACATGCAAGCAGGCAGGGAGCGGGAGCTCAGAGGGAAGGATGCAACGTTTAGAACTTTTTAGAATCTTTTAGAAGAGTGAGAACTTACCTTTCCTGGAGAAAGGAAACAGAAGCAGCAGTGGGAGTGGGGATTCTGATGGGGAGCTGGGGGTTGAAGGAGAGGGGGCCCTGGAGTACTTGGCTGGTCTGTCTGGTAAGCACAGTGAGAGGGACCTGGGGGAGGGAGTTGGGCTGCAGGCAGAGAGAAGTGTGAAGGTGGCCACCACGGGGAATGTACAGGCTCTTAATAGAAGAGGGATGTATCACACAGAAGCAGTGATGGTGAATATCAGAGCCTGAGATCCAGGAGTGCCCAGGGCATGCCAGTGTGAAGATGGCTTCTTAGAAACAACAGGAAAAATTGCATCAGATCAGACAGACATGATCAGGAGGAAGTTAGATCACTAAGTTCTCATGATACTCGTTAGAGAAAGACCTAGACTCCCACTTTCACTGGAAATATTTAGTAAAAAAACATTAAATATAGTCTCACAAAAAATCAGAGGCTCTGCTTCATGATGGTGCCCCCGATCGCTGGCCTTCCTGCTGCAGGGTGCCGTCCTTCTGTGAGCAGAGTGCTGTTTCAAATCTCAACGCCTCACTGTGCTTTCTCACTGCAGGGCCTCACTGCCCCTCAGATCCCATTGTTAGGGGTGAACGGAGGGGTGGAGATCTGGGCACCTGGCCCAACACAAGTCTATCCCTTATTTGTGGGTGACACTTTGCTGCCACTGTCTGTTTTTCCAGAGCCTATGTGCCCCTTGAGAATAAGAACCCCAGAGAAGCTACCTCAGAGGGTTCTCAGTCCCCACTCTGGGACAGCAGAAGATAGCTGTGTGTGCAGTGTGTGTGAGTAAGTGTGAGGGCTGCCCAGGAGTCGATAATGGGCGTGAATCTGGACCTCAGCATGTGGCCAAAAGATTCAAGTTCTTTTCTCAGGTAGTAACAGTAGTAACAGCAGTCACAGCAGTAACAGTAGTAATAGTAGCAGTAACAGTGGAGGATAGTTTTCCACTTAGAAATAAAGATGTCTCTGAGCAGCATTGGGAGCATTGGATAGCTACATCACCTGGCTGTGGAAGACTGCTGGACTAACAGGATGTCAGGGATGAGGTCTGGGATCCTCGGGGTGAGAAGATGGATTGTGAATGAAAAAGCTGAGGGATCAGAAATGTCTGCATTTGCCCTGAGAAAACATCTTTGAGTTGGGGCTTCTCCTCAATCATTAACCATCCAGACACAGTATTATCCTAGCTATTTCTGGACAGTAAGTCTAAACAACAGATATAAGGATGCATTTAATTTTGACATTGTTTCTTTAGGTCCTTCATATGAGATAAAATACATAAATTGTCTAAATGTCTACCAGTGCCACCTTTGCAAATGGATTTGTGACATTTGAAAATGTGTCTTGAGAGAAAACTGATTGAACACAAAATATTGGCTTAGAAAGCCAATGACCTCCTTTTAAAATGTTTCTCATCAGATGGCCTAGAGATTCTAGACATTTGTCAAACCCAAAACTTAGATCAGCTGACGAAGCCCTCTGTCAGCAGGCGCCGTCCCTCTCCCTTTGCCATGGCCCTCTGGAACTAGGCGTGTGGAATGATTCAGGGTTCTCTGTTCACTGCGGCCTTCCCCCGAGACTCCATGATCGCGTGATGAGGGGCTTCTTGCTGTGGGCTTCCTGCCCACACGCAGCCCCGCCCTCAAATATCTATGACACCAAGTCCCACTCCTCCAGGGGTCACCACATGAACCACTTCCTCTGCAAAGTCTCCTTTAGTGCCCCGACACAGATGCCCTGGTGTCTTGTGTCTGCCTCGGTTTCCTTATCTGAAAATGGAAAAGCAAGAGTACCCTCCTCACAGGGTTACTGGGTTGGTGAAACAGGTTAGTACATACAAAGTTCTTCCAGGGCCTGGCGTACAGGAAGCACTTGGCCATGTCAGCAACCGTTATCACGCTGACGCTTGTCATCCTCTACTATAGTTGTTTATTTCTTGCTCACTGCTAGACTGTAAGCCTCTTGAAAACTGGGTCTAAATCTTATGAATTCCTGGAGCACAGTAAACATTTGTTGACCCAATGAAAGAACAACAAATTTGGGAATGAAAGAGAGAAAGAACAGCTATGTGAACAGCAAACCATGGCCCGAGGATCCCTTCACAGTCGCTGCCTTTTGGAATGTTTAAGTCCTTTGGGGCAGGAGCGGGGACTCCATCTGAAGGTCACCTCCTCCAAAAGCCCTCCCTGACTATCTAGCTACAGCAGTGCCCTGCCCAGGCGCTCTGTACCACATCACCTTGCCTGTTCTTCACAGCGCCTATTATTCTCCAAAATCATTTTATTTCTTCTTTGCTGTTTGTCTTTCCCACCAGAATGTAAGCTCCTAAGAGCCGGGATCTTCTCTGTTCAGCTCTGTGTACTCAGTACTTGAACAGTGCCTGGCCTGGTGTGGATGCTCAATAAATGTTTGATAAACGAACGGATTCTCTACCGAAGGAGAAAGGCACCATTTTGGGGAGCACTGCCCTCTCTCTTCCCAGACACACACCAACCTACCAAGATAGTTTATTTATTTGCACGGGGCCAGCATCTGGACCTGGTTAACACTGTATTTGCATTTTCAAAACTGTGTCATCTTATTTGCAAGGCCAGGACTTCTATCAAATGCTTTCAAATTTGAGTTATAATGAGCAATAATGTGCTGCTTCTCACCAGCAGCTTCAAATAATGGAGGCTGCAATAACCTTCCACCTAATATCTCCTGTTTTCAATTTACAAAATGGTGTTTAAAAATATATATGACTTTCAACAGAATGTTGTCTTTTGTGAAAAATAAGGTGATTGTTCATAAGAAGTAAACCCATGTCTCATGTAGTATGTTCCACACATCCACACATGTTCTGATGACAAGACAGAAGGCTGACATATGTGCAAAGCTGTGAGTCCAAGAGGCAAAGATGCTGCTCACCTCATGTGCTTTAAATATCTTCATATGCTCCTTTTAGCAACATCAGTGGGAAAATGAACTCTTCTGTCTTTTTGGACTTGACACCCATTTTTTTAAACAATATAAATTTACTCCTAATATTTAATCGTTCTTTAATGGAATAACCATAATTAGGATCCCCCCCCAGACACACACACTAATATCTGAGCATGTTGAGTAATAGGATTCATACTTACTGGTGCACTTCTGAATCTGGCGATGGGGTTGTTGATGGAATCTCAGAATTTGCTGGGTGGGTGGCTGTGAAATGAACCTTACCAGTGTATCCTGGAATATTTGTAGAGCTAAAGGAAAGAGGGAGAAGAAAGGAAATGAAAACACCGATTTGTGAAAGAGCACCCGAATATGAAAATATAAAAGATGTTGCAGTCTAATGGTTTTGTCCTGCGTGAGGTCTGGAAACCGGGCTGCCAAACAAGAAGGGGTGCAGGCAGGAAGCACAGTGATGCAGAGAGGTGCAGATAACAGCTCTACTCAGGACTGAAGAAACTTATTTCAAGTGCATGTTTTCCTATTATTTGAATTTGCATGCCTTTTACATACACAATTCCCCGCTGAGCTCTGTTTCCTAATGAAGGCAGACGCTGACTCTTTACAGAACCCTAGGCCTCTGTTCCACACATAACTGTGATACTGATTCCAATATTAGTGGACACACAACTGTGTTTTTTAAATAATATTTCTTTCTTGTTACTATTAATGTACTGTATTACTAATTTCACATAATTTCCTAAAATTGCACACATTTAAACAAGTATTGGCTTGTTTAGTTCAATTCCACTTACTCCTCTGCTTCTCTCATTCTATTCCCACCAATGAGAGAGGAAAAAAGAAAAACACAAGAATGAGGAGGAGAGTTTTTCCATGTGGATATGAAATCCCTCTCTTGGCAAACAAAAATTCAAAAGAAATATTTTGATTGGTAGTTCAGAGGAGTGTGAAGAGTAACTACTATTTTTGCTATTTTCATAGTATACAAATGCTTTGCATGGATTATTTCCTGTGGGAGAGGTGAGGCTGGACCAGGGTCAGTCCTGTGTGCTGCTTAGGACATGTGGCCTTAACCTAAAGAGCTTGAGAAAATATAAGATTTAAACTTCATTTCAAGGATAAAGAATATACTATAGGCAAATCATGAGGCCCGCTCAACAAATACATCATCTTTGTGGAATTCAGCTCTTAGGATCCCTTCAGTGCCACAGCCTCAGCTTATTGTGCCTGCTTTGGTGGGAGGAAGAGAAACAATGCCATCATTACGTGCCCGTAGCAAGGAAAATGTCAGACGTCAGTTTGCTACTTTCACTCACTCAGTGGTTGGCGCTTCCATCCCTGGGCCTTTCTCCGAGGGCATGACATCCCTTTGGCATGGTTCCTTATTCTAGTTGATGCACAGACCAAATGCAACATGGCAGTAACATCCACACCCTTGTCAAAGGCGAAGGAATGATTCCTCTGTGGATCTCTTGGTTATATCCATGTCCTTTCCACACAGCCAACAAGCCAAAGAAAACCTCCAGGAACCATTTACCTTAGGAGTAAGTTTTGAAATGTGGAGCTCCAGGGAGGTTGCTCCTTACAGTGTCAGGTGATGAGGCAGACAGAAGAGAAAAGTAGTGTGTGCTCAAGGGTTAGGACTCAACTTTGGACCCCAGGACTCTGCTCATCAGCCCTCAAATCTGGATGGTTGACATAATCTCTCAGAGCCTTATTGCTTCAGCTATGAAAGGGGGTCTTAATACTAACCTCAAGGACACCCTTGAGAGTAAAGTGCAATTCTGCCTGTGAAAATGTCTCGTGGAAAAAAGGTAGTGGTTCGTATTGTAACCAGTTGGTGTCCTTCCATGCACTGATTATGTGTTGGTATCAGAATGTTAGAGAACAAAGTATGTATCAGGCAGGAATTGCACTAATAAACTTCATACGTCTCTTCCCAGTGCATCATTCTACGACTCTATAGGTGATGACTTCACGGCTGGCAGGCAATAAAATCAGGGTCACCTGACGCTAACAAAGTGAAGGGAGATTACATCAAGGGCAACAGCAGAACAAATAGTACAAGTTAACGGATCTCGTGAGACTAGGAAAATGAGGCAGCTAAACAGTAGGGGAAGCCCACCACACCGGGAGCGGGCCTCTCTTGCCAGCCTGACTCAACCCCTGAACCAACTCTGAGATTTTACTCAAGTGAGGAAAGCCCTCTGGGCCTCAGTTCAGTCAAGTGTAGCAGGGAGAGAACACCACCACCCTCGCAGGGGCCCTCCCGGGGTTAAGCGAATGTGAAAGCAGCCAGCAAATCTTTAGCACTGAGTAGGAGCTCAATTAATTTTAGTTGAAATGCGAGATTTTACAAAATAGGAGCCCAGTAGGTGGAGAATGCAAAGTTTTTCGAGCACGGGTGGCTGTAAAGATAAGACAGTGCTTTCCAAAGTTGTTGCCTACTGAAAATTCATGGGGATTTTTAAAAGGTACCGAAGCCTGACTCCTACCCCCAGATATTCTGATTTAATTGGTCAGCAGTGTGACCTGGGAATTGGGGTTTTCAAAGCCCTCCAGGTAATTCTAGTGTGCCACAAAGTTTGGAAGTCTCTGTCTTGGAGATCCATTTTCAGGTTTGTTGGAGGGACCTGGGTGAGTAAACTAGTGTTGCCAAATTCCAGGCAGTGCCATTTAGGATTTCTTGGAATTTTCTTGAAGGAGTGTAGCCGTATGTCAGTGAGGTAACAAAAAATGGGGCAAAATTATTCATGTGTATGTCTCTCCCCTAAACATTCACTGAAGCTTCCATGCATGTTACAAAGGAAATCCCCTTCCTCTGTGTGAGAGGTTTTTTCCACTGCCCCTAAAACACCTGCAGAATTAAAATGCCTCTAAAGTCATAGCCTTCCATTAGAGCAGTTAAGAAGTCAAAGATGGAAGCAAGCAATTTGTCAATCACAAGAAAGGCTGGATATGAAACATCATACAGCTATACGTGCCTTGTAGCATAGAGGTAATGGATGTTAAATGGTATTATTCATTACATTATAATAACGATGTTATATTGTATTACATCCTATCTAATAATAACAAACCATGAACAAGTACTGAATTAAAGATAAGATGCTTATGCTTGAGAATTCAGTTGCATAATAAACTGCCAACTATTTGAAAATGAAAGTCCTCGCCCAGGCTGCTTCTAAATCCATTCCATTTAGCCCTTTTGCAGGGGTATCACAAGCGGAGCTTTTCCATCTTAAGTGCAACAAGTTGGCCTTACATGAAGAAAGTAGTCTGTGGGGGGCAGCCTACAGACCTGTGGCTGAAAGCAGACATTATCTTTCAGATGGGGAAAGAAAGGTATTGAAGATACTGAAACGGACAGACTTTAAAATAGATTTCAGATTAGTTGCATGTTCAAAGGCGACCTCCCTCATTTGAGGAGGGCAGACACAGGCAGGCGCCCATTTAAAAATGAGAGACGTTTTGATTTTTGTCTTTGCTCCATAGCGTCTAGTCCTTTGAACACCTTCTTTTCTACCCTGACTCCCAAAATAAGCCTGGTTTTGATCACTAATGGGTAAAGTTGAATAAATTATTGCCTAAGTTTACAACTAATTGGTTTTGTTCAACAAAGCATAATAAAATAGAAATTAAATAACTTTAGAAAATAAGAAAGTTTAGTAAATCAGTTAGCAAAAGGGAGCACAGATGGTGTGTAATTAAAAGCTGAATAGAAAATAAAGAAAAAGTGGAAAAAACTATGTTATAGGTAGAGTATATGTAATGTGTACGTGGATTAGAACTTCACTGTGCACATAGCCTCTCTCTCTGTACTATGGGCTACATCCCGGGCACCCTTTTATTTGCTTGCATGAATTGACTTATCTAATTCTCGCAATAACCTGTGTCATAGGTCTTATTATCATGCCCATTTTATAGGCGCAAGAACTGAGGCAGAGACAGTCTATATAACATGCCCAAAGCCAACCAAGCTGGCAAGTGGCAGAACTGACACCAACTCAGAAGGCCTGGATGGGAAATGCCCCTTGTGCGCACACACTCAGGGCTTCCAGCCTAGCCGGGAGAGATTTGCTAGGTCAGAGCAGACAGCATTTATTCAGAGTGTGGGTATAAGTGCCGGTTCAAGTCAATTTGACCATCTTTTATTGAGAGCTATGCTGTGGGAGGTACAGATTTAGGCAGAAATCAAGCAGGCCTGGCTCCTGACAGCTTTCACATTAATAAGCAACTTCAAAGAAAATGTACGTCTAGAAGTTTAAAGAACCCAAATGGGGCAAACACCATCAATGCAAAGTAAGAGAGGGAGCGTGTAAGAGGAGTACAGAAAGAGGTGTGGGGTCACAGTGTCAGAGCAGCTGGCATTTAACTCTAGGGCTGCCCCTAACAGCCAAGTGACCTTAAACGCAGAATTGAAGTTTCTGAGCCACACTCTGCCCACGGTCAGAGGGACTGTAGCTCCCTTGCAAAGGGCTAGGGGCAATGTTACCTGGGTACAGTGCTGGCATAGTGCAGGTGCGGTGGGAGGGGAAGCAGGACTGGGAGGGTGGGAAGAAAGCAGAGGGAGATGCAGCAGAGGGGCAAGGCTGGGCCTTCTGGGGTGACTGAGAGAAGAGGTCCTACAGGAAGCTCTGAGGGTGGGGCGCTGCTGGGAGGGAAAGCACGGAAGGCTGGTGAGCTTTGATTTGTTTGCTTTAATGTTCAGTGAGAAATCCAAGTAAGATCAGAATCATTCTTGTCACTGGACTGTGTTTCTCCGAGTGTGATAAGATGCTGTAGCCCCCAGATTTGTTCAGGAATTATAGCTTTAATATTATCATCATCATCTAGTGGATAGATTTTCTCTTCCTGTGTTAGAAACTTCACCTCTTCCATTTAGAAGGGGATATAGAAATAACCCAAAGCCTTCATATTAGAGTGGGGCTGAAGCCCCAGGAAGCACTTAGTCACCAGAGGCAGAGGGCATGTCCCTGTGGGTTCAGGGCGAGTTTGCCTGGGGATTAGGAGACTGCTCTCTTAGCCACTCACGAAATGAGTGATCTGGGGCTCTTTATATCATTTGCTCTGCCCTCAGCCTCCTCATCTGTAAAATGGGGATGGAACCTGTTCCCGCACCTCTGGCCTCATCGCACTATTTTGAAAAACAAATGAGAGAGTAGATGTGAAAGTTCTCTGAAAAGGCAGAAGTGTCAGGCTAATGTAAGGAACTACTATTCATAGCCTCATTCTTTAACCTGGGCTGTGGTAAGATTTTTTTTTTTAAGGTGCAACACACACTGGGGACTGG